ACTAGAGGACATGGGACACAACAAAACTCTTAAGCCTTCAGGCAGGATTTTAAAGAAAATATTACAAAAAATTACCTATAGAAATTTGGTTTGGACTGAGCTGCTGAATGCTAGCAAACAAAAAAATTAATTTGTATTTTAAAAAATCAGAGCACTGTGTACCTTGCTTACTGAGGACTCTGCTTAAATTCTTTAGAAAATAAAGTGAGATATTAGAGTCCTATCTATTTAAGAAAGAAATAGTACCTATTATATAGTATTTTTTAATAATGACTGGAAATCATATTATCTGCTTTACATTAATGTTATAATTGATTATAATTTTAGAGTTTTAAAGCCAGGTTGGAAGTAGAATTTGACTTCTTGTCTTCTAAGACCTGCGTTGAAAGCAGTGGGCCTTCTGGCTGTAGAGGGAATACCTAAGAACAGGTTGGCTGTTGATGCTGTACTTGCTTCTGCAAATTCACACAGATCATCATTTTCAGCAAAATGTCATTAGTGGTCTCTTCTCAAAAAATAATAGCACTCTGTGTTTCCAAGGAGAATATCCTAAAGAGAGGTATTCTTTAGAATAAATGATAGATCCTTCAGTTCCATCCTGCTCTGCCTGTTGCTTTGATAGACTCATCCAAGATGTCAAAAAAGAGCCCAGTAGCATCACTGGGAAGTCTTAATCATTATCAGGTTTGAATGGCTCATCCCAGTGAAACCATCCATCTCCTCTGTCCAAAATATATTGGGGGTGTTGATTTTCACATCTGCTTCTTTTGTTGAGAAGTTTCCAGAAATAAATTGGTTTATCTGTCTCCCCTGGAGTGTCTTTGAAAACTGTGTCATAAATTCCAGAACAGTTCCTACACAAATACAGTTATTAGCATAAAACTTCTCATGTCATCCTGTAATAAAAATCAAGTTCTATTTCTATGTTGATGCCTAATTTCATAAGTAATTGTGCCTTTGATTGAAGCGTCTGTATTTTTCCCCATCAACACGTGCAGGCAGATAACTGGCTGTTGCAGAAAGAAGGGGTAAAAGGCTTCAAAGAAGGGGTAAAAGAAAGAAAGGGTAAAAGAAAGGGTAAAAAGGTAAAAACACTGACTGAAGGTGAGCCTGCTTACATGCAGATACAGAGGGATGATAACCAGGGAAACAAAATGACTTGTTCTCTCCATTTGTATTCTCAGAAGTCTTTAGTTTCAACTCTATTCTCATTCCCTCCACCTTCCCCGAATGTATTAATTTGGGCCACCCTCGTAGCCACCCTTGATCTGTAGATCAGAGGAGTAGATGTTAAATCAGGCCTCCACTACAAAATCTTGTAGATATGAACAGTGTGTGTACACTGATAAAGAAAGGAGTTTATGTCTTCATGCTGATGCTCCTGGGACTGTCTGCCTGTTAAAGATACCAGGAATCTCTGTGCAGCAGTGGATTTTGAATTATCTGCACCATTGCTCAGTATAAATTGCATCAATAAAATAAAGCCACTGGCAAGGCTGATCAAGAAAGTTGGTCATTATGGAGGCTTTATGAAAATTCATTAATTTAGTTTCAGGTTGAATGGAATTTTGTTGTAGAACTTTAATCCTAGGCCACAGGGATGGATTTATTCTCTTACAAGTAGAATCAAGGTGGTTTCCTTCTTACTTATTCAGTGATAAGGGAAATCAAGAAAGAAATTCCTTCTGATATGACAGTGTTGCTGACTGCTGCTCATCCTCCAGAATCAGATATCTGATTCTGGAAATGCAATAATAGCAGACACTTTGTTATTTTGCATTTTGAATGCAGCACTTCTACTGCAGGCTTATCCATTTCTCTCACTTGTAGAGTATGGTACTGGTGAATTAGACAGTAAGTGTTAAATGATTTACTGCCAGAAATAACTGATGATTATGTAGATCTCCAATTGCTAGTTTTGCTGGAGTAATGTGGGACTCATTACTGATATAATCAATACAGGAGTGCATTGAGTGTTGTATGTACTAAATTGAATTTAGTACTGTATGTACTTGAATACCTTGTAGGTATTGGGCTTGAAATGATCTCTTAAGAGTCATTAGTGTCAAATTACTGCTCTCTCTGACCTCAGAAATCCACACTGTGGCTATTTAAAATGTTTTTGTTTTTTTTTCTTTTCCAAAATGCTTTTGGTGATTCATAATGTAATAATGGAACCTATCACTGGGTTCAAATATTTCTATTACTTCCTGTATAAACCCTGTTGAGAAAATCTCCTGAAACCTTTCTGATTTCTCTATAGTATTTTCTGAAAGTTGATTTCTAAAGTGAAGGAAGAAACATACATTTCAGAGAATATTCTTTTACACTCGGTCTTGGAGCTGGTTCTAACCAATTTCTACAGTATGATGTGAAATAACTACTGATACCCTTTAAATCTGAGAATTACTGGAATTTAAACTTCTTGAACTTTGAATCAAAGTCAAAACCAACAGTTATCACTGGTATTTAGTTAAAAATTAGCTATTCCTGGTTTGTACTGCATTTTTGATAATCAAGTTAATGATATATAGGATGAAAGAGGATGGAGAAATATAAGAAAATAACTACCTGATTTTTTTGTTGTTGTTGTTCTCAGTCAGATTTTCTCATTAGAGATTGTCTCTTGGAACGATTTGCTTCTTATTTCTTTCCATGTTCTAATTCAGCAATTGTGTTTCTTGCAAGCATTGAGCTTGTCTTACCCAGCTGACTGGCTAAGTAGCTGGAAAAATAATATGAAAAAAATATTGCCTTTAGTTGGAGGTTATTAAGAATGAACTTTTTATTTCTGGCCATTATACTACCCCCTCCACTAAAATGAAATACATAAGACATAGAGCCAAATCCTAAATGTTTTCCACTTTAACACATATCTGTCTTACCTGCATACCTAATACCTCCTTTCATCTTGACTCCAGCACCTCCTTGCCTGTGTTTCCCTTGCCCCCTTCTGGCTGTTCAGAGGTTTTGTATGTTCCCAAAAAAAAAAAAAATCTGCAAAGTCCTAGCATGGATCTGGTAAAGTGCTCAGAAAAGGAAAAAGAAACGAAAAAAAAATCCACACAAGCAAAAAAAAAAACCCTAAAGACAACCCAGCAAACTGTTGGAGGCCGTGTTCAAACTCTGGTGATGTGCAGCGATTTTGTCTTGCCTTTCCATTGCATGGTTAGTGGTGACTGTTACACACTTTAGGTGAGAGTGGTTTTGAAATCACTCTTCACATAAAGACTGACTGATCACCTCTATCCTTAGAAAAATTCTGGTTACAGACAGGGTCACTAGATAATGTATTTTGTGGTGTTACAGGTGAATATATGGGTTTTTAAGCTACTCCCTCATTTAGCTGTCGTTAGCTGGCATGTCAACCTGTCAAACCCTTTTCAGAGCTTTTTATAGTTCTTGTCAGTGGTCAAGATTTTTGTGAGCCTTTTGCTGAGCAATCCAACAGACTTTGTACTTCACCTCTAGCAGAAGTGGCATCCCGAGTTTGTTGTGGTTATTGCCTCCTTTATTTTGTTTTCAACTTGCAGTTTTGTCCCTTATCTCATTCTGTTTGGTAAACTGTCCTTTTGGGCAGGAACTAATTGTGTGAACACTTCATGTTTCAGACATCAGTGTTCTGAAAACAAAATTTAAGTAATAGTTGCAAAGGACAACAAAAATATATAAGGTTCATGTTCATAAATTGATTAAGGCCTGTTTAGAGATTGAAAGCTAAAATCTATTAAATTCTACACTTTTGACATATTTAGAGGCTTGTACATTTTGAAAATGCACCCTTTTATGTCTTTTCCTCATGAATATACAAAAGTTGCATGTAAATTACTTTGAAACTCTGTATTGCCTCAGCGTTTCCCTTCCTCTTTAGTTTTAGGGAGGTCACTGGATGGCAATAGAACATCAGTTTCGCCTGTTCAGGGCCATTTAGGAAAAGAATTTACAGTGTAGGAAAAGCATATTTAGGCATTTAAGGTAAGTCTGCTAGGTAGTAAAAGAGCCCTAAAGTGTGTTAAATAAGGTGTCCCCGAGGCTTTTTACTTATTTTCGTAGCAATGAATTTTCTTAGACCTCTGGTGTGCTTCTGCTGATTGTATCTTCTCTCTCACGTTAATCAAACATTGAGCACATGGAATGAATATATTCCAGTTCCAGGACCTCTGAAGTAGTTGCTTAGGGATGTTCAACAAAGGCATGCCATAAGTATTTGGGTCTCTGAAAGGAGAAAATGAGTTAATGAGATTTTTATTTTTTCTTTGGTCTCAAAATCTTTCATCAAGCTTCTCTTTAAAAAAGAATACATAGAATGAAGCAGCCAAAGACCATGGAAGTTACAAAGCTTTCATCTGAACTTTCCTTTAATCATATATTTTTAAATTAATGTTTTTTTTCAGTGTATGCTAATCCTGACCCTCTGTCACAAAGAGGTTTATATATTTAGTGAGATGCAAAGTCCAATTTAGTTTATACTTTAATGAGCCCTGAAATGAACTCCTGGAAAGGGAATGTAACTGTTGTTACATCAGCATGTACCAGTAGAGAACAAGAAGAGAAGAAAGGTATAAAAAATACAGGGCAGGTCATTTGACAGGCAACATGGGACTGCCTGTGCTCAGTTATGACACCAGGGTGCAAAAACCTGCTCAAGACCTGGCACAACAGTTTCCATAAATGAGTTTGGTTGGGAAGGTGCTGGGCTGTAAGATCTGTACAAAAGGTGCTGAAGAACTGGGAAAGCAGGAAACCAGAGTGCTAAATTCAGAGTCCTTTGTACACTGCCTGCAAAACCAGTGTGTCAAATGTGTTCATCTGACTCTGAATCTGTCATCAAAGGATTGATTTGATTCTTGTGTGATGTATTTAAAAGGTTTTAATTTGATATAAAGCATTTTGTAGTGAAATCGGTAGAGAAGTAAATGTCAAGCTAAAATTTTATTATTATATTATAATTATATTATTATATTATTATTATATTATTATTATATGTTGGTTTCTCCCAGAGTTTGCTGTGCCATCTCCTTTCTTCTTCTGAGTGGGAAAGTAATGAAGCTGAAACCAGTCCCTTCATCTCAGCTCTGGGCTACACGTCAGCAGATTATTATGGTCACTTAGTTAAAAATGTGAGTATTCTGTGCAATTGAGATTTTGTTAATAATAAATCACCACTTTATAAGCACATACATGGAACTGTCATTGTGATAAGGAACATGGACTAAACTTTGTTTATCTTTTCTTACCTCAGTTACTTTTACAACCTTTTAAGGGAAAAAAAGGAAGTTGGAGATCTCTGGATACTTTTTTATTAGATTACACTCTTAATAGATGTTCATAAAACCAAAATTCCCATTGCTGTTGTGTTATAGCAAAATAAAAATCTGTGCTATCATTATTTTTTCTTATTAAGTCAAAATTATATGGATTATTTTGTGTATTGGGATGTAACTTCTGAATGTTTTCTTTGACTATATCCACTGCTTTAAAAATGGTAGATGAGCCCTGAATCTTGTATTTAATATTCAAAAATAGTGCGAATAATATTTCAAAATATTTTTACTTCAATTAGATAAAGCATGTAAAAATTAGTAGTAGTGCTCTTCTGGAAGTTTTATCTTAACTCTTGGGGAAATAGAACTAAAATTAATGTCTTTTTAACTTTAAAATGTGTAAGGCATAAAATGCGTTAAAAAAACCCCATTTTGCAGCATAGTGTATTCAGTGATCTGGAGAGCTTTAATTTGGCATCAATAATTAAAAAATTAAACCAGATGACCAGAGAAGGTTATTAACATTTACAGTACATCAGTCACACAGAGAACCATGCAACTAATGTCTGCTTATTGGCAGAATGTTTATTTTTATTTTTATTTTATTTTACAGATGGTCTTTTCATTAGTGACAGAACTCAGAGAAAATCCTTTCAATGGGCTTAATAATCAGAGGAGGTAGGTGTTATCTAAACATAATTGTCATATGTTTTGGTTTGGATCATCACAGTTCAGTGAGGATTGTTTTACAGTCTCGGGCTGAAAAGTTTTGGATATATGTGTAGGTAATTTAAGGTGTGAACAAGCTTTTTGTTTTTAAGTTGGACTTTGCATAAGAGTTTATACTTAACCTAAGAGTCACAGTTTCTAGCACATGAAATGCAGCTTTGACAGGAAGACACTTATGAAGACCAGGACTTACAAAATACTGAATTCTAGCAAATTAAAAAGTGCCAGATTGTCTGTAAAAGGCTTCTAATCTTTTTTCCTTTTTCTTTTAATGTTCCAAAGGTTCCATGTTTTGTTTATGTTCCAGATTCCACTGTCTGTGGTTGGATGTAGCTTTAGTGAGCAGGTCAAGTGAGTGGTTTGTGTGTTAAGATCCAAACTACGTATTCCTTCAACTGTAGATCTGTGAGACAAAAATTGTTCAGCTGAGCACTTGAAGACAGCAGGATTCCTATTGTTTTGTTCATATATATTGCTTCTGTTGAGAGGAGAGAGGTCAAAAAAGCAGCAGGAGGCCTGAGAAGCATTTTGGTGGTCTCTTCTGAGGGTCCAGCAGAGTTCTGTGGGACCTGTGGGTCTGTGGTCTGCCTTCACTGATCCTGGGAAAGACAAAGCACTCCCTGCCAGGAAGGATGTGATGACTGAGCCAGCACAACTGGGTTCAATTCAGAATTGTGTTGATGTCCTTCACATGGCTTACTTTGAGCACTTAAATGTCAAAATTTTGCCTGACTTCTCAAGATTCCCCACACAATATGTAATGACATATCAGCAGTCGTCCCAGTAAATAATTTTTCAGTGTTTAGGAATGCATCTCTTACGTTTAACCTTTTGTAATTAATTTTGTCTTTTTTTAGGTTCTCAGTATAGAGGTTAAAAGGTTTGACTTTTCTGAGATAGGAACTGTGTTTGTTTTTCCCTCAGTGTTTCAGCCAGTCGTGTGAATGCTGTGTCCATTTTCTGTGTCCCTCTCATTACTTTGCCTGACCTGACTCCCTTGCTGGAAACTCTTCTTCTTTACCATGGAGATTCACCCAAAGAAATTCTCTGTCCAGAGTTTCTGGAGGCTGTGAATGAGGCCTTCTTAAAGTAAGTACTGTGGTCTGTATAATTTTTATACTCTTTCATAAAAATTATTAATTCCATTAAATGTCTTTTCTCTGGGTTTATATGCTGAATGCACTGTGCACCTGCTTTCTAATAAAATATTTCCCTTGCAGCTGAATAGCAGAGCTGAGGGTGTAGGGCCAAAGCAGATTTCTGTATTGCTGATGCCAAATTGTGGCATAGCAGCTTTAAATATAGACTGGAACTTTGTCCCACTCTTTCTCTAAAATGGAGGTTAAAGTCTTCAATAGATTTTAGTAATTTTGTGAGAGATGTGATCTTTTTTCATGGAAATGTCATTTACCTTTCATGCAAATGTATCACCATTCCTAACTTGACATTTTGGGAACCATTTTCATTTTTCTATGCACAAAATAGATCCTTATGTTTGATGTTTTTGTATTTCTTTTGTGTGTGTGTGTGTTCTTGGTTCTCAAGAATTTAAATTCTCCTGTTTTTCATCAGGCTATTTTTAACAAGTCTTAGAGGAGCAATTTGTGAAATATGACTTTACTTCTTTTGCTGCCACTAAACCCACTGTTCTGATAAAATCAATCTTTGGATGAAAACCAGCTGGGTGAAGCTGAACATCAGCAAGATTCACTGTGCCAGGAAAGGGAAGATGTCAGACAAAGCACAGCCTACTTTTGTTTGAGAGTTGCTTTATTCAAGTTGTAGCTGAGGGACTGTATTATAAACAAATTTTTTTTTACTAGAAAATGTCTTCTGGGAACACTTTACTTCAGTTATCCATTTCTCTCCTTTTTTAAACAAAGTTTTAATTGCTTCCTCTGTACTCCTCGTAATTTCTGAGATGTTCCAGAGAGGATTTTTATAGTGCTCCATTGAGGGCTCCAAAAAAATTAAATAATTAATGGAAAGGCAACACTGCTAATTCATGCACGTTACTAGAAGCTGAGGAAGAGGAATGAGAAAAGGAATGTGGAGTCAAAGATGTGCCCAAAAAAGACACAGCAGTCTTTCACTTCTTCACTCGTGCCCCTTTCATGGCTTCAGGTTGTACAAGTGGCACAAGCAGAAATGCAGTTTGGGAAACTTTCACAGCAGGTTCACAGGTTCAGTGTGGATGGGCTTCTTTCACATCTCTGTCAGTTTATTAGCTTTCTTGCTTGGCATAATGTCTGTGATATCTACCATGCTACCACTAAAACAGCAAAAAAAATGGCTGTGGCAAAATTAAATAGTCTCTTGTCATTCTTAATTTACTCTGATGTGCATATGTGCTTTAATAGTGACACTGAATTAAACAGCATCCTGAAATTGAGCATTGATTTCAGTTTTGGAATTCTGGATACTTCAATATATTCCTTGTCTACACATGTACACTTTTTAAGTCATTACATAGCATTGAATGGAAAGAAATAGAGCTCTTCAATGGAATTCAGAATTCTGAAGGCTGATATTTAAATAAACATATGGCAAAATAAATACGTTGAAAATAGATCCTGACATGGTGTTAGGTATTCTTTCTGCTGGAATTTTTCTTTTTTTAATCAATAGCTTCAGTTTGCATGCCCTCTCCAGACCAACTTTAGGGTTTTTGGTTTAAGACCAAGGCAAATATTTCTCGTTATTTATGTGTTCTTTTGGTTTTAACCTTTTAATTTGCAACTGTCATAACAGCTACAAATGTATTTCAGGATGTATTGTGCTGTGGTTTCTCTTCTTGGGTGGTTATTACTTTGGCATATTTTGATTTGTGCTGGTCCACACTGTGCCCTTTTTTCCCAGTGGTACAACACTGTGCTTCAGCTGAGTTATAGATGAAGGCTTTAGGTAAGGAGATAACTTGCCTTCTTAACCATTTGCCTTTTAATCAGCTCTGGACAGTGTTGGTGGGCTGAACACTTAGCTGCCTCTTAAGTAATTTTTGGGATTTTTTTTTCTTTTTTTTCCCTTTGTTGTTAATGTGCTTGGATTTTTTCCTTATTTCTCTGCACAGGCAGGTAATGCTTTTGTTATACAGCAGAAATATTATGCAGGACCTTCCTGTTTATCAGTCAGCAGCTGCCTGCAGGTACTAGTCCAGTTTGGAAAGAGCACAAGTGTTGGGCAGGGGATGGGAACTCCAGACTTAAACCTTCTGTTTCCATTTGCTGGGATCCATCATGACCAAATTTTTAGGTTTTAAACAGACGTGGTAAAGTTACATTTGTGGATGATGGTGATTCCCTGTCACCCTTTGCTGTGACTTGCTATTAAACAGAGTGCTGCAGGCAAGATTTTCTCTCTCTTGCTTCAGGTCGCTCTTTGTGTCTTCTTTTTCCTCAATATGTTAAAAAAGAGGAAATTTTTGTCTTTCTTCCAGTTGCTCAGGGAAAACTGTATTTTTCTCTCACACCAGGAAGCAGATCTCCCTTCCTGAACCAGCTGTCTGCAGCCTCTGGCTTCGTCACTCACCAAGCCTGGAAAAAGCCACCTTACACCTTTTAGACCAGTTGGTTTCCAGTCAGCTGAACTCACTGGAAGAAGTGGCTTCTGTCATAAAAGACTCATTGCTGGTATGTGCAACATGTAGGACCTTTGGCACTGCTCTGTTGTGCAGGGCAGTTTTCAAATATGTCAGCAGATTTGAAGGAAATGGCTCCTCTGTGACACATGACTTGTTAATGAAAACCAAATATTGAGTCTTACAAACATCACTACTTTTTTAATTTTTACACTGAATTGGTAAAGGGAAAAAAAAAAAGATTTCATCCAGTGTTGCAGAATGGATTAAGAAACGATAATCTCACTGTTGAGGCAGCTGAGTACCTGCCTCTGTCTTAAAAAATTATAAACTTTGGCCCGAGAGGCTTTAAATGTGTTTTCGCTTCAATCTCTGTGCCCTTGGAGTTCAGCCGTTTAAACAGCTGAAATTCCTTGTAGAATATTTTATTATAGACTGCTTAGTTACTTGGTTTTGTTTGCAAACCTGAACAAAATTCTTAACGCAAAACATTTGCTAAGCTGTGATTAAAATTTGTTTTAAAATGCTGTGTTATGCAGAGTACCAAAAATCTTCCCTAAGAGAAAACATGGCACAGTATTTTTTCCAAAATAATGAGCTAGTTTGCAACACTAAATAGAAATTTAATTGTTAATTACAGTGTAAAATAGCATGTCTGCTACGCACTTAATTATATGTTCCATAAAATGATAGAACTAAGGAATGGTATCTAGTATTTTATTTTCAGCCTATGAAACTCCTTGCAGAGTATGTATTCTAGCTAGGAAAAGAATGCTGCCTTTAGATTTTCTTCCTTTTTGATTGAATCTGCAAATCTCTTATTTTAGGGATCCATTATAATACTTGCAAATCCTGTAAATGCTTGGCACCAACAGCTCTTCCTGTGTAATCTGGGGATTTGGGTGTTCCAGGAGACAAGGCTGTAGACAGGGCCTATGCCTAATTTTTCTATATCAGATATGCTATGAGTTGTACATACTGTATGGTACCACACCATGTACCAGCTCAGGACAAAAATATATCTTTTATAAAAGATCTAGGTTACACACATAAGAAGAAGTAAAATATTTAAGAATTGGTTAAGTGTTATTTATTAAAAATGTTAAGTAACTTGCCTTCACGTCCCTATCTCTGAAAAGGATGGAACATTGCTGTGCTGGTACTTAGGCTGTCTCTGCTTGCTCCAGAGACTTTGTACTTTCAAAATAAGATATTCACTGAGTGGCAAGAGCAGTGCAGCAGCTTTGAGTGCTGATTTAGAGAGGACATCCTGAGGACAAGGCGTGGAAGGAGTGGAGGCATGAAGGAAGAGAGCAGATGGGTATTGCTGATTGATAGGCATTGGTTAGAAGGAGAGTGCATAAGTGGGAGATGGCAAAACAATTAAAACCAACAGGGTGAGAATCTTCAGAGAGGCAGTATAGAGGGAAAATATATGATCCAGAAATTGTGTTCTAAATGCATAATGATATTTTGTATTTGTACATGGTACTGTAAAGATACCTGTGTGATATTAAATCAGTCAGCACCTTGAATCCAACAGTAAAATTAATTTAGCCTGCCTGAAAGATATTTGAATATTTATTTAGGAATGTGGGTGTGCATTTTTTGGCAGTTGGATTATGGTGTTTGTAGGATATAAGATCTGTTTGCCTTGTGGATATGGTAATAGAAAGGAGAATCATGAAACAAAACTATATTTACACTTTTCTATTTGGAAGAAAACCTTTGGAGTACAAATAGGCTGAAATATGTTAGTGATTTGATTATAGTACATTATAAGCAGGAAATTTCAATAATCTCTCATAAATATATTATCAGAGTAATTTATCTAAATAAAATGTCTTGATACAGTAACCATATTGTACATAAACCTCATAGAGATCTGAGGCAGCCAGATAATTGTAAACCACCATACTTATTATGAAAGAAACTAGATATGAAATACTCATCTATTTTAATTCCAAGAGTAATTGTAGTGTGATGGTCCACTAACTTGTGTTTATATGGTATGCTATTATGTTTGTGGGTTTGGGGCTAAGCTGAAATTAATATTGGAAATTCTGCAATTGCTCAGAAGTAATAAAAGCAAGTGAAGTGACCATCACAGATGATCTTTTAGCTTTTTCAGCACTGGATGGGTGAGCAGATGTCTTCCTTTCTGACATAACTTTGAGGTTTGTACAGGGGCATTCACAACCAGTATTTTATGGTTTACCAAGAGTGGATAGGTGTTTATATACACAGACTTTTAGAGCCCATGTATCTAAAAAGAGATGTGAACGAATGGGTGTCATTTACAGTTTGTGTTTGGTTCTGAGATAGCTTTCCAAATAAGTTTTATTTCTTTCAAAGTTACTTTGCAAGAGAAGTGCAGGAGGTTGAGAGGGCTTAAAATTTGTTGGCTTCTTCTTTGTAAACCGCCTGTTTTGCTGCATTTTTTTTTCTACCTTGTTACCTTAGAATCATAGAATAACTAAGGTTGGAAAAGACTTCCAAGCTGATCAAGTCCAACCTTTGACCTAACACCACCATGGCAACTAAACCATAGCTCTTGTGCCATGTCCAGTTGTTTTTTGAACACTTGGAGGGTTTTTCTTAACTTAGGCTTTAACTTGGTACTTTGGGGAATGTGTAAATAGTTTTTATTCCAGATGGTCTATAAAAGCCTAAGAATATGGAATTAGAAAGTAGTGTGTCTACTAGAGTAACAACTTCCTTAAAACAGTCTTTTGTGTGGTAGCATGGTAAAAACCTTCACCAGTTTAAAAAAAACCACATTTTGATGCACTGAGAGATTTAGCTTGTACTGGCAACTCTGAATTCACAGAAGATAATACTGTGAAAAAATATCTTGGGCAAAAATGCGTGCAATACTGTTAAAGACAGAGGGGGTAAAATCAATTTAATTTCTGGAATTTTATGTTGAAGATGTGGCAAGAGTCTCAAAGCACATCCCAAAGGGATTGCCTGCCAAGAGGAGAGAAAAGCTTTTTGGAAATGGGCTCCCTGCCTCCAGCAATTGCGTGCACCAACCTGCTCTTTCTGCCTGCCACCTTCAGCATTGGTGGTGATTGTTGTCATAAACAGCCTGGGATCCCAGGTGTTTGCATTTGTCAGCTGTTGAGCCTGCTTGGTCTTGCTGTGCAGAATCCTAAGAATGCTAATCTGAGGGGTTGGTAAGAGCTGATCTGAGAGCTGCAGTTTGATAATGGCTATAAAATAGCATCCATGGGTTAAGCTGTAAATTATACAGTGGCAGTTGTGTGAGTTGTTTCTTATTAATACCTTGTTTTCTTTCATTTGTTTATCAACAGCCACAAGCAGCAAGCCATCCTGCCATTTTCAGAGTTGTAAATGAAATTTTCAAGTAAGTTTTGAAATGATAGTGGGGAGAGTTTCAAATGATCCATTTAAACATTGAGGTTTTCTTCATGGGAAGAAGCAGTATTGTAGTCTGTGATGTATTATAGTTTCAGGATGTCCTTTTCTTTACCTGTATGCTTTAAGAGTCCCCTTTTGGGTAGCACACTGCAAATAATGAAAAATGTTTAAAATCTCGTGAACTTCACATAAAAGTTACATAATGATATAATTGGTACAGTTGACTACATTGTATTTTAGCCCTTAAAATTTATAATTTATTTTGTACTCAAGCAGAGATTTGTGGTTGAAATATGATTTTGAGGTGAAAATTATAAATGCTGAAATGGCTTGACCCATGCCAGCATGAAGGTGGAATTTAGCAAAAACATTTGCACTCACCACTGTAGCCTCTTTTACATCATGTTAATGGTCTTCAGGGTTTATATTGGGTATGCTCTTAGTGGCATTAAGCCATTGATCTGCCTGTGAATAATGAGTTTGGTTTTGAATGCATTAAAATTATTTTGAGGCAATATATACTGGTTACCACATGGGGGCTTCCACTCCTTTCTACTCAGTTTTCAGTGGCTTTTTCTCTGTGCTTCACTTGACTTAATGCTTATTATTTTTAAGTAGATCTACTGCCAGGGCTGTAGGTACTGGAAGTGGATAAGATGCTGTTTCTTTGCTGTTTCTTAGCTAATGCAGGACTTTGTCCACCACAGTGTTTCCTAATAAAACTTTCCACTTCTATTGATGTTCCAAATTGTCTTTAAAAATCATCATGTTTTCCTCTTGCTCAGCCTACATTCCTGCTCCCTTGTTTGCTTTGAATTGTTTCTACGTAGGGTGCTTATTCCTCCACATTGCTGGTATTGAAATCCTAATATATTTTAAAAATGCTTTGTTTCCAGTCCTCTTGGTGTTTACATCAAACTGTGCACGTTACCAGGCTTTTGCAGACAAGTTGGGTTACGCAGCTTTGTGTTTCTTTTTGTTGTCTTTCTCTGACATCCTTCCAATTACTATCAAATGATGTGCAGACATTAAGATACTATTCCAGATTTATTCACATTTTAGAGATTTTAGAGAAGTGCTGATAAAGAACTTGTTCTTCCTTGCTTGGAAACTGTTGGGTTTCTATAGCTGGCACAAAACTTCGTTTATTTTTGGGGTTAATGTTCTGTTAGAAGTATGGATCTAAGCATTGTGACTTTTTCTGGAATAACTTCTCCTGCTGTTTGCATACATTTATTGAGATTAATTGTGCTAAATTATTTTATCACAAGGACATTTACTTCTGTTTCTATTTCCCAATGTTTTCTTGCTATGTGTGGCTATACAGAAGTCCATACAACTGTCTTAAGTTTCTGTGTACCATTTCTTCTTTTTATATCAGTGATTATACTTGCCTGTGGGTTTGTAAAATTTATCTGTTACAGTAATTTGTTAGCTCTTCATGTCTTTTAGATCATTATGGAAGGAATGAAACATTTCTCTAATAAAAAACACATCTTGCTGGCAACTTACTTTGAACAATTTTTCTCGTTGCTATTAGATGTCTTTCAAATAAGAGAATGAAAATTGTAGATGTTTACTCAATCTAGTTTATTTGCTGGAGTTGCAGACAGGTTGTTTTTTTTAAATTAAAAATAAAATCTAAAAAGCCTACAAAGTTAGTATTTCTGTTAGTGTCCACACTTCTGTAATGAGCTCAGACACAGCTTGAACCTGCAGCATACAAAGAATACACCTTTTTTTCTTCCTTTCAGTTAACAGTGATGTGATGGGCAGACTAATTATCTGATCTGTCATATTTTAACTTTTCCATGCCTAGGAATGCACTGCTGGAAACTGATGGAAGTTCAGAAGTTATGACCATAATACAGGTGTTTACACAGCTCTTCCTTGAGGCTCATCAGAACCAAAACGAGCAGGTAGGCAAGATCTCTTTCTTAACTTCTTTTCAGTAAGAAGATACAAAATTTCACAAGAAAAAAAAAGAATTTTAAGAGAGGTAACTGAATATAATGAGCTGCATAATAGCATCTCTTTACAGGTGCATAGATATGCCCAAGTTCAGTTCAACATGTTCACCCGTGCATAAAATTATATTGTGAAACCAATATGTAAGAGCAGTTTACCCAGCTTTACCCTGGAGTACTCCTGCAGCCAGGCTCAGTTCCCCTGATGCTGAAGTTTCTGCCTGTTTACACTGGAAAATGAACTTAAACTAATTAGTATCTCTTTTAACCTCTGCATATTAAGGAGAAGACTTTTGTGATTACAGGGCAAAAGCCTAAGACTGTTAAAATGTCATTTTTTTCCATGCTCTGAATCTTTTGTGATGCATATACTTTAAAAATAATTACTTTTCATAAGCATTTCCTAAATATCCCCTTTCCTTATGCAAAATCCTAAAATTAAGTATGGTGTTAATTTTCTGTTCTCCTGCTTCAGTCTGTATTGTTAATTACTGCCTTAGACGAGATTGTTCACTGTGAGTTTGTTTTGAAAACTGACCAGAACCCAGTTAAGGCAATGATTTTGTATCTCAGCATAGATTTCCATTGAAGGCATACTTCCCTTGCCATCACCAGCCTCTGGTAAGAGCTCTACTCAGACGTCCTGCTGGTGAGTTTCTTCATGAACTGTTTGCAGCATTACCAATCTGCATGGTCTGGATATGTCTTAAAATAACTTCAAAAGGGATGGAGACAAACATTTGCCATTTCCTAAATAGGGTGTGGTTGACTTAGCAATTTCAACAATGTTCTCTTAATGGATTTTTCTGCAGGAACATCTAATTCTTGTGTAACAATACTGCAGATGTAACTTCAACAAAAACTAAAGCAGAAGTGAATGACAGAGTCCTAACTGTGTAGGGATTAAGCCATGTTACTGGGATCTATATACTACATCTTCTTGTCTTATAAGTAATTGTTGCAATGAAAAATTTCATATGTCTATTACAAGAAAGAGGCTTTCTCTTGGTCTCTGAAGGTTGAATTCTGCTGATATTTTAGACTGCAAACCCAACATTTTTTCAGGTTTTCCATTCATACACATCAAGAAACCACTTTTTTACATAGTTCCATTTTTTATGAACAGTAATTTAAGCTCAGTACAAGAGTCTCTTGTACTCTGAGAATGTTACTCCACTGATTATATATTAATATTGATGTAGCAATTACACAAAGGAACATCAACCTCATTTGAATATTCCTAGCTGTACTTCTTCACATGGCCTTGCCAGTGAATTGCTCTGTGAAACACAGCAATAGGTATTGTTGAAAATGGGAAAATTTAAAATGAAATCTTAACTCTTGTGTGGTAACTGAATGGAGTTGCAGAAATTTTAAAGTTGGCTTGATGTGGTTACTTTCACTGTTATGTCCTAGTTGGACAGACTAGGGTTTTAAAAGTTTTATTTTCATCCTCCATCCTCAGAACTCCCAACTGCTTCCTGGTCTCAACACTTGAAAAACATTTCAGATATGCTCAAAGCATTAGTAGAAGATACAAATATTAGGTAAGCAGTATAAGATTTTCTACCTTTTTGTCCTTTGCGTGTTACCTTGCAAAAAGTCATATCAGTTGAAGTCTTTAGTGGCTACATTTCTTCATTTTCTTATTATTCTTATTATTTCTTCATTTTCTTATTATTCTCTAAAGGGAGAATAGTTTCTGTTTTAAAGAACAGTAATTAGATTACTTACTGAACCTGAACTTTGTAGGATTTATATACCTGACCAATATGCCTCTGAAAAACAAAATCTTGTCCTCCTTTCAGCAAATAACTAGGTGTATAATGGAAATGCTTACTTGCCTGTTCTCCCACTTCTCCCCGAAAACTTTTAAAACTATTTGATGAAGAAGCAGGGTTGTGGAAACATCCAAACTTCAAGCTTCTTGATTGTTTTCATAAATCTCTGAGTGCCAGACTGCAGTATCATTGTTGCATTACTCTTTGAGCTGACACTCCATGTCTCTGACCTGTTGCCCTTGGCTTTTTTATAGTTTTTTTTATAGTGGCAATAGTGACTGATAATGTTTGTCTACATGAATTTTGCTTTGGTAGGGGAAAGAATGAAAACACATACATTTCTGCATGTGTTTTCTGCTGCTGCCCTATAATGCTTTCTCATCAGAAGTGTGATGAGATGTGACTCAGACAGAGCTCGGATACAAGTCTGCTCAGCTCCTCTCTGAGAGTGGGCCGCCCAGAGAATGTTAAACAGCTTTTAAATTCAAAGAAACCAAATTAATTTTGATTTAAAACTTGAGATATTTCAAAAGAAACATAGAACACCTCGGCCTGACAGACTCACAAAACAAAATACCCAGCTGTCTCCCTGTGTCCTGGAAAAAAAAGATACTTGTGACCATGCTTGGTTTCAGTTAACTCATGGGGGCTTTTCTTTGTTGCTGAGTGGCAGAAAAAAAGCTTTTTTTTATTTCCCTCTGAGGCCAGGCTGTCTGCCTGTAGCTTCTCACTTTCTGTGTGAGCTGCAGTTTGGTGCCATGTCTTGCCTGTTTGTCCCTGAAGTGTGTCAAATCTCTCTGTCCTTGGAATGTGACCAGGAGCTGACCCTGGCTTCTTAAAGGAACACATAACTGAAGCTTGGAACAAACAAATAAAACAAATATCATCCATCATAATGCATTACAATAATTATAAGCATGTCTGTTCTCCTTCTGTTACCCAGCTCTTTCTTAGCTTGTATTGTCTTTTTCCCCCTTTGCTTTGATAGTACACTACTTTGAATAGTATTGGATTTGCCTGAATATACTCTTACTTCCTTTAGAACTCCTGTGACAATGTTTTCTATCAAACCCCTCTCAATTACAAAGAAAATGGATCTAACACATTTTTAAATACTAATATCCATGAGGAAACTATTCAATTTTCCTTTATTGCTTTATTCCTGAATCTACATGCTTTTTACTTAATAAGATTTGCAGAGGAGAAAAAAATACTATTACACAGAATATCCTCTTCCTTCTTATATCCCATCCTCTCTGTTATATAGATTGGTTTTCAGTAGTCTTATTTTACACCAAATGTGAATCACAGAACCATAGAATCAGCTGGGTTGGAAGGGACCTCTGAGATCATCAAGTCCAACCCTTGATCCAACCCCGCTGTGGTTCCCAGCCCATGGCACTGATGCCACATCCAGTCTCACCTTAAACACCTCCAGGGAAGGAGAATCCACCACTTCCCTGGGCAGCCCATTCCAATGGCTGAGCACCCTCTCTGCAAAGAAATTCTTCCTGATAACCAACCTAAACCTCCCCTGGCACAGCTGCAGACCCTGAGCCCTCTTGTCTTGCTGAGAGTTGCCTGGGAAAAGAGACCAACCCCCCCCTGGCTCCCCCCTCCTGTCAGGGAGTTGCAGAGAGTGAGGAGGTCTCCCCTGAGCCTCCTCTTCTCCAGGCTGAACAGCCCCAGCTCCCTCAGCCTCTCCTCACAGCACTTGTGCTCC